GGAGGTAGAAATATCATTTCTAGTAATTCAAAAGAGGGCGTACCAACAAAGGTATCGTTGGTTGTTGAAGGACAGTTGAACGAAGGTTAGATTATATAATAATAGGAAAAGGTCAAAGTGTCTTGTGTTTAACCAATAGAATGTATCTTATACAAATGTACTGAAACCAACAGCGTTAATTGTTGGTCTACCTGTGTGCTATTTCCTTTACAAGTTTAAGCCGAGACTAGCATCGTTGTAGCCCGTAAAGCACTCTGTAGCAATTGTTGAACATACTGGCGGCCACCTCAAACAGTCCGGCGGTCCGTCGTTGAAGTCTCCACCCTGTTTTAGAAACCGTAGCGTTTTTAACGGCTTCCTTGAACGGCTTCTAAGTTTAAAGCACAACTACACCACAGTTAAAACGGGAAGCATTCCGGTAGCAATCCCGAGAACAATAGTAGTCACGAGTCTCACTCCCGCTTACGGGCACCGTGGCTACTATTGTGCTTCACTGTGCTAAACTGTCTACGGGAGTGTCACGGAGATGCCTTCAACGGCGAGTGGTTGTCAACGACGGCGCGGGACGTCGTGGTGGCGAAGGTGGCCGCCATTATCGCCTACCGAATTCTACGGGAGTGCTTCACCGGGCACAAACGAATGCTAGTCTCGGCTTAAGCTTGTAAAGGAAAATAGCACACAGGCCCTAGGCTCACCAGGTTAAGGCCCTGTCATACTGTCCCCGGAAATCATAATTCGTAGGACCCTACACACAAAATATTTTTGTCTTTATTTACGATTGGTACTATATAACACGTTGTGTGTGTGTGTCACGACTACCCATATAAGGGGGATATATTCACATACCTCGATGTGACTAACCTGCCACACTCGGTACGTGGTTGCCCGACCTGTGGCCTCGTCTCATTAAGTAAGTCACCTTTAAGTACTGACTCCCAACAAAGTCTGAAAATATCAGTACAGTATCATAATACTTTAACATAATTGTTTGTGTTACTTTCGTTGCAGTTGTATGTCTTAAATGTAATGTAAATGTTGCCTTCTTGTGTGGTTCGGGGCCATCTTCGTGCAAAATTCACAATTCAAAATTTGTGTGTCCATCGGGTGTACATTTCGGCACAGTGTGACAGGGGCTTAAGGGATGGACATAACTAAATGTTTTGATCTAAATGTATTATGTTACAAATTTCACATATCTGTATTAGTTTAGTTAAAAAAAATAAAAAATAATTTGATCCTATTTAAACGTCATAGTATTGCTCAACTAACATAATACAGTTATGTCAAATCTCTTGGCATAATACATTTAATTAAAGTCAACTTTTCAGTGGAAAATATTTGTTAAGCTTGATGCTAAACATCACTTGGTGGTAATATACTGTATGTTAATGGGAGCATTACCTAGTGTGCAGACTTTGTTTTCCCTCTCAAAAATGTGAAACTTTACGAGTGTAACAGAAACCCATTGATATAAACCTCGAAAACTGGCTAAGCATGTCAGTGCCTGAGCTTCCTGCGTTTTGCCTGCACAGAAATCCTTTGTTTACAAAAGGTTAAAGATATCGTAAAACACACACACATATTTAATATTCCCAAAATGTTGATAGGTGCAACAAGGCTTGGGAAAACTTGTTTAGTGGTCAACTTCTGCAAATAAATGACTTGTCAAATGTCTGATAAGAGCGGCTGATGTCAGAGAGAGAAAGAAGTGATTCCAGAGAGGTGAGGGTCTGACTGAGAGAGAGGTGCTCTGTGGAAGGTAAACAGCAGATTGACTGCAAATACAAAAACATAAAAACATTGCCTCAATCTCTTTCTGCCGCCTCGCAGAGGTCTGAATAATTAAAGCTGTGTCTGTGTCTGCTCTGGGGAAAACAGCCTATAGGATGAAGCTGAATGTGAATCAGTGCTGAGGCCAACACACCAGCATGCTGCGACTCTGACAGCTTTCACAATCAAATAATACTGTGCTCTGCAAATGTACCAGATAAAGGACCCAGCATTCAAACACAAACAAACAGGATCGGAGGGTTTGTGGACATTAACGCAGCGTCCACACGGCAGAGTGCGTTGAAGCTTGCCGGCGGGCGTGTCTGAAACTCGACCAACAACCAATCCCATGAATCTCCCGCCCCGGACACACAAGGACACGGTTGGATTGGCTAGAGCTTGCACTGGTATATGATTTGATTGGCTGACGCATAGCCGCGGGAAGTATGGGTGCTGGGGGTGCTGCAGCACCCCCTGTTGGCAAGTGGTGTACATTTAAAAAACTGAGTGACCACCTAAATAAAAATGATTAAACAACATAAAATAGTTATGATTTTACTTAAAATAAAATTAGCTGTATACAGAAGCATATAATAGTCATAGTATATATTTGTATTGAATTTATTTTCCAAATAAATAAAATCCGAGTAATCTAGGTCGTAGGTCGTGGGAGAGTGACGTAATTGACGCGACACACACATGCAGAGTGACAACTTTCTAGAATGGCGCAAAAAAGGATTTTGGATTTTTTTCTCCAACAAACCCAATAAAAAGAGCTACTCCTCAGCCCACCACCTCTACAACTAGAGTAATATGACACAGAAGAGACTGACACATCTGACTTTGATGCATGTTCATAGTAACATTTTGGACAATGATTTCCTTTAATGCTGCTGCCGCTGTGCAGTGTTTTGCCTTGTCAATCAGTTAAAATTGAATTCATAGTTTTATTAATATTGTAAATAATATTTTCTGACTATTTGTAATGTTATTTAGGTTTGTAAGACCCATAGTTAGCATGTGGGCATGTGCAGCTGTTGCTAAGTGATGTAGGTCTATAATGGTTTATTAAGCCTAACAGTTAAGGCGAGACACCCCAGGTGAATAAGGTAAAACAAATGTACTTAAAGATATCAGCTAGACATTTCTCCAGTTAATTACCTACAATAAGGCAATTGTTTCTTGTATTACAAGTTTTCTGAATATGCAAATGAGCCATTATCTCATTAAATGTGCGCATATTTTTAACACATTTCAGGAACCGAAATCTGAACTTTGGATAAAGCCAGGTTCAAAATTCTCGTTTCATTTTGTAGTCATATTAGCATCTAAGGCTTTTACACTGAGACTGCCAAGGCACACTTTTTAACACTCCATAAATCAGAAACTACTGTCAACAGCCCTAAAATATCAATTTTCGCCATGTTTTTAGGTATAACATCTTATATAATTCAGGCTATGAATGACATATGAACAAACCCTTCAGTAAAAGCCTTCATAATATTGATAGGAATATAACTGGAAGGTTTGGTGTATGTAAGTGCAACTGAAGTGGACATTTCAGACTCAGAGTAGGAGAAAAAACTCCTTTTGAGAAAACGACCTTAAAGATTGCAGTGTGGCGCTAGCTAAACCCTCCTGTTCTTTGGATGACAGCTCCGTGAAGGTATTTCATGTTCGGGGTCATTTGTTTTTTGTATAACCTTGCTTCGTGCAAGTGACAATTGTTGTTGTCTTCTCTGTGAACGTTTTTTTCGCCGTTCTTTTGCCCTTTTGAGATTTATATTTCTAGCGGAAAGCTAACCAGGAAGTGTTTTAGCACACCACGTGACGTATCTGAACGAATCACGTTGTCAGAAGTTGACACCAGCCA